GCATCTGATACAAAACAACACATGTATGTTTCCACACACTTGTTGGTCATCTTCGTCTGATATGATGTGCTCCTCTTTAGGATTGTTCTTTGTAACCTGAACAGTTTCTTCCATAAGTGGCTTAGACAACACAATGTAAAGGTGTTGTAACTGAATCAAGGGTGGAATCTTGTTCAAACGATCCACCAACACCATTATCACTGTAAACCTCTTTGGTCTGACAATCCCTCTATAAAATTCATCGTCACTTCCTCCCAAACTTTCTCAGGTAACGCTAGAGGTTGTAGTAACCTCCTTACACCATAGTTAAATACTTGTGTCGTTGACACAAATCACATCTTACCACCATGTTATCTCATCTTCGCACATCCCCACGGAATATAGCTCTGCAGATTGTGGACTATGTCTTTTGTACCTGTAAATGCCACCCATTAGCGCTATTTTGAAAGTACTGCAACGGTTTGGGGATGTATGCCTATGCTCTCGGTAACATGAAGCATCCCTGATAAAGCGGTTGTTGCCCTCTCAATGCATATCATGAATGATTGTTTGGATCCTATAACTACTCTGCTCTCATCTTCCGCAGCCTATCATCCTACTTGCTTTCCCGTCTACCATGGGTATTGATAAAGCTGTTAGTTGGTGTTCATCATCTTTCTCGATAGTACATCCGCGGAACATAGCTTTTTTCTCCAATTATGTTTAGTACTGAATCTCAAAATCATATCCAAGTAACCTGGATAGCCACCTTTGATGTTTCTTAGTCATCATTCTCTACTCTAACAAATACTTCAAGCTCATTTGATATGTCATGATATTGATAGGAGGAACTTCGTCCTTCAACATGATGGCATGCTCGTGCTCCCTCGGTGGCGACAATCCGCCAGACTGTTGAAAGATATAGGAAAATTGCTGCAGAAGTTGTTGAACACCTTCAGAGACTTCTGTTGACTCGAGCACTCGGATCTTCTGTATACTCTGCAAGTCTACCAAATAACCCAATTATGCTCCCCGTATCATCTTGAATATGGTTTTGAGTGAAACCAGGGTTCTGCATTGGCTGCTTCCTCTCTTAGTTCACCTTTCGCCCCTCCATCCGAATATCCATAATCAGGGATTTCTAATCCACCTTTGTTTCCCCAATCATCTGTAGTTGCATCATCCCCAAAATTACATTAGTGTTTCCCAAGTTTAAAGGAAGGAAGTTATCCACCACCTGTAGGTTCTGTAGTGTCAACACTAATCTTCTGTAAATTCCTCGACTTTTCTATACATTCCCCGTCCCTATCATGACTCCAAAACTTCACTTAATTTACCAGCTTTAACCCCGGCAGGTACATGACCCGATTGGAGATGAAATTGTTAGTAACCCCACAGTTCGACAACACCACTTTTGGATGTTCCCTCACCTTCATGATTTGATTTGGAGTAAATCCCACTACCGAGTTGAGGGATACCTCCACTACATCCAAGTGCAAGTGCTCCTCCTCCGACTCCTCATTATCGACCTCTTTCTCCTCACGAACTAAGAGGACCTAGAGCGTGCGCTCCTTGCACTTGTGGCCTGAGGCATACTTCTCGTCACATTAAAAACATAATCTTTTTGCTCTCTTGTCTTGCACCTCTGATCTGTTTGTGTCCTCAGTGTCATGGTCTTCGAGGACTATTATGGAATCGTCTAGTGGTGCTTTTTTCACTAGTCTTGTCTTCTTCATCTATTTCTTGTCTTTCACTATATGGGCGAGCTCCATCATCCCCCTCAATTCTCACACTCTCAATAGTTGGAGTGATGCCCATATGTCGGGCTTTAGGCCCTTCATAAAGTTCTCCATTCCTGCTACATAAACCCTCTTTATCCGTACTGACAATAGCTCTAATTATCCGTTCTGACAATAGCTCTAATTTCTCCCTATGCTTCATGACAATCTCCTCCCGAGTTAAGACATAGAATTTCTCTTGTAGGTCTCCTTCTCGAATGACTAAAAAATATTCGAACAAGCGATTCTTAAATTCCTCCAATGAATAAATCGAGTATCTTGCCTCTCCAAACATAGCCCTGTCATTGTGAGCTTCTCCTACCCATTTTGCCCATTCACCATAAAATATCGCTCCACCCAATAATACTAACCCATGTGCGTCTTCCCCCTCGAAGATAAACATCTTCAACTTTCTAACCCTAGCATCACCTCCCCAATTTTGTCTCCCTCCGATGTTTCCATGTATCTAGGTTGAAACCCCCTTCTTCGATCATAACTATATCTCATTCCGATTTTTCTCATTCTTTCTTCGTGCTCCTCTAAACCTCTTGCATAGATCCTCCAAATTTTGGCATCATTCCCTCTGTGAAAGTTCTAATCTGCTTCTCGTTGGTGTCCTTGGATGTTATTGGTGGTGGATTTTTTTCTCAAGCTCCTCTCATTTGAAATCTTTTCCTTTTGTTTGTCCAAGGATCATCTCGTCGACCCTCAGTTAGGGTTCGCAAATTGAGCCTTCGGCCAGGTCTTGGGCTGTACCTCAATAAGACTCTTTATCATCTTCTCCAAGCTCCCGAATCAATTTTTTATAGAAGAAAACCTTTCATCCATAGGGATATGGAGGAGATGGTTTTTTTCATCCCATATTTAATTTACCCTAATTCACATTCCACTCTCTCTTCCAACGCATCCACTTTCTTTGTTATCATTTCTCTAAGATCTCACTCTAATATCAACTTGATACAAACCAAAGCCAAAATCAATGAGCAACTTACAATAGATATGTGGGAAAACCCAATATCATACTAATTTGTTTAATATTAAAATAAACAAGCAAGATATAAGGGATGATCTACAATTCGAGAGTTAGACAATCTCTCCACAAATTATAGATGCCTCTAGGAACACAAAGTCAAAAGAAAAACTGCAGCAAATTCGAAAATAAAATAAACCTTAGCTAATTCGCCTTAATAAGTACTCTCCAAATTTTTTCTCTGATACTAAATTGATACGAACTAGGGCCAAAATCAATGAGCAACTTGCAATAGATATGTGGGAAACCCCAATACCAGACAAATTTAATTAATATCAAAACAAGCAAGCAAGATACAGGAAATGATCTATAATTTGAGAGATAAATCGTCTCTCCATAAATCTTAAATGCCGTTAGGAACACAGAGACTAAAGAAAAGCTGTAGCAAAATTCAAACATAAAATAAACCTTAGCTAATTCGTCTTAATAAATACTTCTCAAGGTCTTGCTTTGATACGAACCAGAGCCAAAATCAACGAGCAACTTGTGGGAAAACCCAATGTCAGACTAATATGATCAATATCAAAACAAACAAGCAAGATATAATAGATGATATACAATTCGAGAGGTTGATCGTCTCTCCACAAATCCTAGACACCGCTAGGAACGCCAAGACAAGAAAAACTGCAACAAATCCAAACATAAAATAAACATTAGCTAATTTGCTTTAATAGATACTCCTCAAGATACATTCAAACTCTCTCCCCAAAATTCTTCGTAATTCCTCTCCTATTGTATGTGATTAAAGGTTGAGTAGGCCCCGCCTGGGAGCTAGAATAGCCCTAAACTGCTCCTAGAGCTTCCTCCCCTCTCGGTTAGGCCCGCTGGCTTGGCCAGTCTAGCTGGGTTTTGCTGGATCTGGCTGGTCCACAGCCAGTTCGTCCTCCTCGTCTACTGGCACAGCAGGTGTATCAGACTATCAGAATCATCCCAAAGCTCTATGCTCTCTTTCATTTTCCCGTTCATTACAATAGCTGCATCTAACGTACACTTAGGATTGGGTATCAAGAATGCACAGAAGGAAATCATTATATAACCCAGCAAGACTAGCCAAGCCAGACCGACTGGGTTATCAAGTCAGACTGGCTGGCTTATGTTTGGGTCTGGCTGGGTTATGCTGAGTCTAGCTGGTCTAGACCAGTTCGTCCGCCTCGTTTACTGGCATTGCAGGTGTATCAGTATCATCCCAAAGCTCTATGCTCTCTTTCATTTTCCCGTTCATTACAATAGGTGTATCTCATATACACTTAGGATTAGGTATCAAGAATGCACACTAAGAAATCATGATATATGGGTAGTACATATTTTTGGAACACTGTATATTTACTCAAACAATATTTAATCTCTCAATTACTTTTCTATTGTATTCATTCTATTCACCTATAAATAATTACAATTATTTAGGGCTTCTTTGGGATCACTTTTATTTTTTATTTTTTTATTTTTATTTTTGTTTTTATTTTAAAAGCATGTTTATCATATTTTTTTGTATATATATATATTTTTTATTTAGAAAAAATTCAAAATATCTACGAGTTATTTTGAGTGTTCTTAAAAAAAGAAACTAAACATGCGTACCATTTCATATATATTTTATTTTAATTAAGATACAAACAAAATAAACTAATAATACTAAAAATTAGACCCCAAATAGATCCTTAGTAAAGATCCTTCAATTCTCTCCCCAAAACTGTTTCAAGTCACAACTACATCAATGCATCCCCACCCCCTCCAATGTACCAAACAACACATTCTGAAAACTTATTTTCTATATTCTAATTTTCTTTTATTTTGTATATGTTTTGATCTAAATCAAAAGCATGTTCGACATATTTGATTAAGATGCTGTTGTTTTTAAAAACACTCAAAACATCTCAAATTTTTTTTTTTTGAGAGTTTTCAAGAACATTTAATTTATTTTTAGAAACAAAAAATTAAAAAATATATGTAAATAACATACTAACCAAATATATTTTTTAAAATAAAAAAATAAAAAAAAAGCAAAATTGATCCCAAATAGGCCTTTAATTTCTCCAAACCCCCATAAAAAGTAAAACTGATCTTTTTTTTTCAAATAGTGATTGAATGTGCTGATTGGTTTTATGTAGACCAAGTGCTTCTTCTTCTTCTTCCCCTTTTAATCCAGCCTGCCTCTTCTTTCCGAACATCAAACTGGATTATTAATCCCAGACTTAAAACTTTGGTTTCTTCAGGTGTTTCAGTTGTGCAGTTCATGGCTGCAATAGACCAACACTGCATCCAAATATCTCCATTTATTGACATAATGAGTAGAAGATTTCCCTCAGTGAAGTTTCTCAAGGTAAATCTCAACACAAATTCTCAATCTCCTACTTTTTTTCGAATTTATTAACGGAGTTTGGGAGTTATAGCTCGACATTCCTTTCCAGTTTTTCTAACCGAGCTTGGGAGTTATAACATGACATTCCTTTCCGGTTTTCTTAACCGAGTCAAGGAGTTATAGCCCGACATTCCTTTCCAGTTTTTCTAACCGAGCTTGGGAGTTATAACACGACATTCCTTTCCGGTTTTCTTAACCGAGTCAAGGAGTTATAGCCCGACATTCCTTTCCGATTTTCTTCGTACTTTTATTATTATTCTTATAATTATGATAACTCATATTTTACTTGAATTAAAGGTGGACATGAATAAGAACCAAGCTGTTTTCAAGGCAGAGAATGTGTTTACTGTTCCTAATTTCAGAATATATAAAAATGGCGTTATGGTGAAAGAGCTGATCCGCCCTACCCAGCAGCTGTTGGAGCAATCTGTGAGGCTTTACTGTCTGTAAGCTTCTGGTATCAATTCTTCAATTTTTACAAATAAAATCCCATGCCTCAATTTTTCTCATTTTTCTATACCTTTTTTGTAATTTTCATTTACATGCATACCATATTTCCAAGCCTGTTGCTGTAATTTTGATTATATACATTTTATTATAAAGAATGTGAGCAATTTGGAATTATTTGTGTTGCTCTGCTGTTTTTTTTTTTTTTTTTTTTTTTTTTTTTGGGTTTCTTTTTCTCATTAATTATAGCAATGTTATGATGCCTTAGGGTCCATTTCGGGTAGGGGTGTAAATGAGCCGAACTCGAGTGAGCCCAGGCTCAACTCGTGTTCGGCTCGTTTATATTTCGAGCTTAAGAAGTGTGCTCGTGTTCTGCTTGTTTGCTTAGCGAGCCGAACACGAGTTGTTCACGAACAAAGAGTCATTTTGAAAACCCTAATCTCGTAACCATACAATGTTAAGGGTTGGGGCAAGATTTAAAAATTATTATTTATATTAAAACATAATTTGAATCTAATTTAATAAATTTTATTCTATTTTCTTAATTAATACTTTTAATTGATTATAATTCTTTGTAGTCTTGTAGTCAATTAAATTTTTGCATATATATATATATGAGTAGTATTTCGAGCCGAACACGAATGAATAAATCTTTGTTTGTGTTCGGCTTGTTAATTTAGCGAACGAGCCGAACATGAGCTGTTCGCGAACAATGAGCCGTTTTGTCATCCCTCGAGCGGTCGTGCAGTGGTGGTGTGGCACCGCACGACACTTTTGTCTGTTTGGATAAATTGTATTTTGACTGCTATTCGAAAGCTGTCGCCGAAATATGTATTTTTTCACCACGTTTGACTAAATACGGTGACAGCTTTCTAGTTGTGGTCTGACCTATATATATATTTATATATAAAAATTTTTAATAGCTATCACAATTTTTTAGCATCAGATTATTATTCATTAGTTTCATAACTGTTTTTTAATAAGCTACAGCTGTCTCAAATAGATCTCAAGTCATAGTTTAAAATAAATACATAAATGTTGTGATTAATATGTGGGTTTCTTATATTTATTGTGTACAAATTTATTAAAATGTGCGTATTCTTAGAAATTAATATGTGAAATGTGCGTATTCTTAAAAATGTCATCGCCCCGAACAGACTCTTAATTTAATTGCTGTTTTTTTTTTAAGAAATTGAATCATCAAAGTCTACGTTATGCGTTTCTATTAATGTTTACATTTTAAAAATATTCAAGTCTCCTCGGCTATTATAACAATCGGTGATCAAGTCATTAAAAGGAGATGAAGCTTTAGATATGTCAGGTCTATTGTTCACAATGATGGTGATATAGATAGGGATGTTATTAGTAGAATTCAAGTTGGATGATTGAAATAGAGGAATGGTTCAGACCTATCTTGTGATAGAAAAGAACCGATTAGGCTTTAAGGAAAATTTTATAAGATGTTGGAGAGACCCACAACACTTTATGGTACAAAATGTTGGCTCATTAAAGAGAACCATTAAATTAAGCTAAGTGTTGCTGAGATGAGGATGCTTAGGTAGATGAGTGACATTACACATAGAGACAAAATGTGAAACGAATATATTTGTGAGTGGGTTGGTGTTGCTCCAGTGGCAAACATAGAAGATTAGATAGAGTTTTCTTAGATGATTTGGTCACATTAAAAGCCGATCATCTTATGATCCTGTTAGGAGAGTAAATGTTTTAGATTTGACTTTTGGTAAGAACGGTGGAGGTAGGCCTAAAAAGACATGAGTATGTTGTATAAAAATAATCTTAATCTTTTAGAATTAAATAAAAATAAGACACTCAATAGGACACAATGGAGTAAAATAATTTATGTAGCCAAGCCCATTTAGTGGGGAAAAAGTTATGTTGATGTTATTGGTATGTTTAAGTTTGCTCAGCCTTCAATTAATGGTCCTCATTATGCCCTTTTACTATATGAAAAATGGTGTTGAACACATATAGACTCATCCTCTCAAATAATATTTGGGCTCAATGATTATTTATAAATAGAAAATATATTTTAAAATTAATCACTTTAATGTCAATAAATTTAAAAATACAAATGAAACTAAAGTTTTTGAGGTTTAATATTAATAATAATATCAACTTACATTCAACTATATTATAAATTCAATAAAATCTATTACTTCTTACAATGTGTTTTCTAATATGAGTCATAGAAGTGATATGTAAGAGACACTAAGCGCTTTAATATTATAAAATATAAGTGCATCATTTATGCAACTATTTTTCATAAATAAAATATTAATTAATTATCACAAAATGATAGAGACAAAAATCATTACTTATACACATATCACACATCTAACTTTACACAAAATGTATGGTAATATTTCTCATAATGTGCTCAAACATGTGGCACATTAATAAGATGCAATCTTATATATATATATAGGATGCATGTAGCAAACATGAAAGCTCTTCTCAAGGCCAGGGGAGAACATGGTAGATAGAAGACTGGTAAAATTTGTCCACCTACACATCTACATTTCTTATTTCTTTATATATTCAAAAATTAGCAAATATATATACATTACAATAATATAAAAATAACTTAGTTTCCTCTTGAAATATTATTATTACTATATTATATATTGATCGATACATTGAGTTGTAAGGAACTACAAAAAAACTCTAGATTGACTAAATAGGCAAGAGAGTCACAAAGTTGAATTCCTTATTGTTTTATCATACATAGAAGACATATTATTATAACAATTGATGCATATTGCATCCCAAATAAGATATAAGAATGAAGGAATATCAACATTATGGAGGATGTATTTACAAACCATAAAGAAGAATACAATCTAAATAGTACGAAATTTTATTAAAATACTATATTGTTTATCCTTTATTGCATAATTAGAAATATTCTATGTACATACACATTCATAAGTTCATCAATTTGTAAGATATGACATCTAGATATAAGATGATAATTTGTATTATGTTATTCATTCAATGTTAATGCATATAAGACTATGTTATTTATCATTGGCCATATTCTTAGTAACAATAATGTCTTCCTTCAAGTTAAATTGATGCTATATTCTCAATCAAATCAAATAGTCACATTTATGGTGACGACGCCTTAGAAGAATAGAAGCTTTATTTACAGGTGGGTGGATACTACAACATTAAAATAATAATAAGGATTTGGCTCCAAAATTACAGATGCATGTGTATGATGACCGTGAAAACCCAATATAATTTCATAAGCAACTTTGTTTACCTAAATAAATGATCACCCTCATATGAGGCACATGATGCCCAACTAACACTATTGGTGAAAACCACATGTGATTGCTCACAGTTCACTCCTCCACCATTATGGTTGCCAATGTGCAAGCTTCTATATGCTAAAATAAAACAAAGTAAACAAATAAAAGCCTTTATAAATTTTAGGGAAAATTTTTATCATTATTATTGTGTGCATGCATGCGCATGTATGTATGTATATATATATATATATA